AAAAATCAATAATTAGGAAAACACTGAAATTGCGTTGATAACTTCACTGTACTCGGTTCTTAAAGAGCAATGCATGGTAGAGAAGAATGACACATAACGCGCTTGAGTATATGAGACGTCCGTGGATTTTATTAAAAACGGCTGACAGAGCATCAAAAGAAACATACCAACAAAACTTGGTTATTCTTTGTACGAAAAAAAAAATCATCTGCGCCGATATATGTAAAATTTATGTCGCAATACGGCAAATTTAGAGGCATGGGGCGCCAGGGGAAAAACTTTGTAATAATGCCTAGACTAAACCAGATTGTCAACTGTTTTGAAATGTCACAATTTGGTACCTTTTTCAATAACTTTTATGCATTTGAATGCAAAGGAAATCCCTTGGACATAAATACCAAAACATATGGAAAAATATGAAAATTTGGCGCTTTCCCAACAAATTCCATAAGATCCAATAGTAAAATTCAACTTTTTTTTAAAATTCAAATATTGATTACTTTTCACAAAAACTTTCATGCATTTGAATGAAATGCATAATTACTAAAAGAAATGGAAAATGTGAAAATTTGGCACATTTCGAAAAAAATTACAACTTTTAAGATAGCCCTCTCGAAGAAATCGGGTTGGTACACATTTGATTTTTTATCGGCTTCGTTAAATGGTCAATATTTGCATAATATCAATGTCTTTATAAGGACCTTGTAAGCAAATGTTATCATCATTTCACTTTTTCTGGCTTGTTTCACAACTATTTTAGGCCTTTTTTTCTGTAAAATCACATATTTTCGTGGAGTCAATTTTTCGTGGTTTGAGGAAAAAATCTTGGTTTATGGGGATTTGATTTCGTGGTTGGAGAATGTTAAGTAAGCAATGCATATGAAATTTTCCATTTCGTGGTAGTCATAATTTCGTGGGCCTCTCAATACCTCAATAATAATACCTCAAAACAATGAAAAGTAAACCCCCAAAGAAAATAAGTGATTTCACAGCATTCTAAATTTGACCAAGGGAAATTCCGTCTACTTGATCAATATACAAAACTTACTTCGGGATACAAGGGATGTTTATTAGTTCTAGTCCCCGATCTCATCTCTGGAATTTACAGGGGCCCGTTTCAATACCCTCCAAACAGAAGAAAAGACAATATGAGCATACATAAATTGAATGGTAGTTAAATTTTAAAAAATGCTATCATTGTTTGATACGCATGCATTATCCTAGTGATGGTAAGAAATCAAGCATAATGGTATTGCTCAAATCAACAACCTCTTAAAATTTTAATCGAACCAATGTGTTTTCAGATTTTTTGATATGATATATTTCTTGTAATTGTTGCTTTAATCTTCTAAATAAAATGTTTCTTATTGATGATGATTTTACTGTATTGTTTACACTCTTAAGTTAATAAATTCAAGATAAATGTTATTGCTTTACCAAAGAAGAAATGAGAGACGTTTTGTGTATTTTTTTTTAATTTATCAGGGTATTATACTAGCTAAATTGATTTATAGCAGTTTTTTTTATTCTGCTTTAAAAAGATATACATGTTTATTCTAAAATTTTAAAGCTAGTAAAACGATCAGTATTATTATATCTTTCATTATAACTGATCGTATATTTATAAAGTCACATACGAGGGTTGTCCAAAAAGTTCGTGGACAATGATTTTGTTGTTAAAATAAATGGTTCAATATGCATCTATTGTATATCAAAATATTTCTTATGAAAAATCAATTCAGAATGATTTAATCTTTAATTATGAAACTTAATATTTTTGTAAAAATCGGGGTCTTTAAATGTCGCAGATTGTGCGCATGGACCAGTCTGACGTTAAGCATTATAACGTCAAACATTTGGATTTTGCTTAACACATGTTCATGGACACACACCACATTTCTTTTTTTTTAGGCGCAACGCACTTTCAAGTGCTTTCAATAATCTTTAAGTATCGATTATAATTTATATAATTTTTGATTCAACAATTCATAAAAATAGCGTCATCTAAATAAACAATTTGTATACACAAACTGCCCAGCCCAATCCGACGCTGCGTTATTTATAAAACGCCACGAATAGAATTCTCCAATTTCAGTGAATTACAAGTGTTTTTAAATTATTGTAGTGTCTTCGAATTTGTACACACCGTTGAAAAATCGTATACCAATCTCAAATCGATACACTTAATATGTTTCAATAATTTTGAGTTGTTTTAACAAATATTTTGTCTCTAACGCCGTTTCAACCGTATTAAAACATCATTTGTTCGGACGATGAACCGTGCGGACGGCCGACGTCGCTTTTTTATCAAGTTTTGACACATATTTGTTAGGGTTTTTGTTTAGTATTTGTACTGTCTATATATAGTAATCTATACTTAAGATATCACAAAATGATTATAGCCTCTTTATTTGTGTAACATAACATTTTTATCAATTTTTGACTTGTTTTAAATGGAAAATAATCATTTTAATCCAAACACTTTATATCAGAGTTTATTTTATTTTAACCTTGGTCCGTGCGCGCTATCTGCGATCTTTAAAGACCCCGATTTTTACAAAAATATTACGTTCCATCAATAAAAAAATAAATCTTTCTGACTTGATTTTTCATAAGAAATATTTTGATATACATTAGATATATATAGAACCATATAATTGAACAAGAACGTCATTGTCCACGAACATTTTGGACAACCCTCTCGTACTTCATATTTCTGATTTTAACAAAGTATCAAATAGATGGCTTATCGAGTCTTCTTTTTTAATTCTTTATTCATTTTTACACAATCTGTTTCATTGTTCATAATTATACAACATTTGATATTTTTACAGATTGGTTTTTGAGAGAGAGAGAGAGAGTTGGCATGTTAATTTGTTTACATAAATAAGACTGTTTCATTTTCTAAAAACAATTGATTCCACTGATTCCAGTTGGTGTCAAAAACCTCTTTGTCACCATTTTTATATGCTAAATATTGTTGATTTCCACATAAAAGTTTAATATGTGAAGTCGCAAGACTGGCGTCTATTTTTTTTGAAACATCTCATTGTGTATATATATATATATATATAATATTTTATCCATAAGGCAAGTAAGTTATGAATATCTCTGTATTGTAATTGTTTTCCCAAAATAAAACTTTGCTTTGTGAATGAAAGTTGTAACCCTGTCCTTTGCTCACAATATATTTCAAGACTATTTGGGTCTGTACATTATCACACCCCCATAAAACATGTTTTATTGTTTCTTCTTCCATATTACCGAAAGGACATAAGTTATCATCTCTTTTCCTACTTTTCAATAGATATAAGTTTGTACCTAGTATTTTATTCAAGATTCTGTATTGAAACCATTTAAGTTTACTATTTTTTTGTAATTTTAAATGGAAGTTAAAAAAATCATCTTCCATTTATTTTCCCCTAAATCAAAAATATCATTCTATTTTCTTTTCCAAGTGGATTCAATTTCATTTACATTAATTATTTCATAAAATTGTTTTGCTTTCTTACACTTTGAAAGAATATTAGTGCTAGACAAAATTAATGGGTAAGGTAATTTTGCAGTTATATCATTAATGTTTGCTGCTTTCATCTATGCCTTTGCAGCATGTATTATACCTGCAAATTCTAAGACAATTCTAGCGCAACAATATAAAAGTAGTATCAGTTATCTCAAGGAAAGTATCCGCATACAGTAATTTTTTTGTAGCACAAGGACATCCTGTTAACAATCTGCTGGAAGATATGCCAAAATAAAAACATTGTATGTAACATACTCACGGATGCAGCTGCACATGTATACTATTGCCTAGTTTGTTTTAGTGAAATTCATCTAACATCATTAAAATGAAAAAAATAATTTCGATATTTGCTTATTTTCTTCCCAGATATTTCATTTCTCTATTTGAAATCAATTAGAAAAAGAAAAGTTCAGTTTAAATAATTATCTGAAAATTTGTACCGTTTTGAATCTGTAATTTTTCATGCATTTAAATGACTGCAAAATGGATTTATTTTTTGGAATTAGAGTTTTCAATTCTCTTTGAAATACTTTTGGAAACAGTAAAATAGATTATAAGAAATCCAGTCTTTAAGGATCTCGAAATGTACAAATTATTCAATACGGGTTTATTGGTACTGAAACGTAATTTTTACATGTCAGTGATAAATATTAACTCCTGCATCTATGTATCTCATGGATATTGTTATTAAATAAGAAGACTATGCATTTTGTTTTGGACAATTTTGTACGTCAGACCTGTATGAAGATCTCTCAATCAAAAAAAAAAGATAAGAATTTTTTTTTTTACTAAATGAATTCAAAAAATAAGAAAATATATCCTAAATATCTTTTGCCTGTTCAAGTAGTAAATGTCGGTAACTAGCTTTGAAGCATTAAAATAAAGTAGAGACTTGGTGCTTTCATATCCTATTAAAATTTTTCTCCTCAAAGTCCAGGTCTTGGAGAACTGGCTTTATGAAATTGCAATGTTCTTGATTTTTTAGGTAAAGCGGTATAATTGAGTACTTTCAATGAACAAAAATAATATGAGCGCACTCTCTGATCTAAAAAATAAAATATGTCCATTAATCCTCAGAAGCAGTTCTATCATTGACTAGTTGCATATTTTAGATCAGAGGTTGCGCTCTATATTAAATATCAAAATATAGCTTTAAAAATTGGCCGTTTTTGTACACTTTTCCAGAATATGAGGAAATTGACGCATTTCGTGACGTCACAATGCATTGACTAGCCAGAAAATGACGTCATTTTTTATAGATAAGCAGTCACCGAAGATCTAAGTGATAATTTAATGCATTGTTTACAAAAACTATGCGGTTTCAGTTTTTCAGAAATTCACAGGGCCAAATAAGGCAAAGGTGAACCTTGTTCTTTTATAGAAATTGGTTTAATCGCGAAAATTCACTTTCAATTTCTCTTTTCATTCAGTTTAATGCTGAATTGTCCGAATTAGGAGCAAAGATTCGGGAATTATTTAAATCTCTCGGCTATGTTTTGGACTGAATGAAATACTGCTATGGCACCTGCTAGAATACAAAATACGTGTATATACATAAATATTGTTATTGTTTGTTGCCAAGGATGCCACTAAAAGACAGAGTTTGTTCCATGCCTTTGCAATGAAAACATTTGTTGCTTTTGGATATAGTATATTTTGGGGACTTTTGAGGAAAACGCTTAAATAATGTATAAAACAGGTCGCGCACTAGAAAGGCTCCGGTATTATGGCATTAATGATGATTGCCTGCAAGAGTATGATTGTAATCGTTTACTAACAATTTATGAAATCTACTTGTAAGTATATAGTATTATTTCTGTTTCGTTTTATCCGTAAAGTTTATAAATTACAAAGGGTTATTATCGTAAAATTTTATGCATGTACTTTTCAGACTGAAATTAGAACTTTAATATGTCATTTAAAGTTACACATTACTTTAACTAGATTTGTGTATAGTTTCAATTTGTACAACAAGCCAGGTTCATCCAAATTATAATAAATAAATATTGAACAATACAGAAACAATGGCATATTTTTCAATCACTCAAGTTGCTATATCAAAAATTGTCATTTTCAAAATTAAAATATAAGGCTTATAATTCCCATTCCTAAACACAATTGCATTCATTTACTACTTTACCGCTAGGTTATGTTTGAGATATCCCAATTTCATATCACCTTCCGTCAAAACATAACATGAGGGACCATGCATAAACAGCCATCGTCTAGCAAAGTGTATTTAAATGGCAAAATTCAATAGGTCTTGTCTTGCATGTTTTGTACCCGTTGGGCTGAAATACCCCTAAAAAGAAAAGGTTGATATCAAATGATTATGTTTTCAATACAAATGTTAGATAGAAAGGAACCTGTATGCCTATTTAACTCGACTTAGTTATGTTTTTAAACAATTGTGGTCCCTCGGTGTCTTAGTAATTGTGGTGCAGTTATTTACGGCATATCGTCTTGTCTGTGTGCCATGTCTTGTTCTTCAGTGATAAAGAAGATTGTTGTTTTTCAAAGATAAATAAACGACCAAGAATAAAGTTTTTAAAAAGAGAAATTGCATCAAACTTCAAGGTAAATGAAACGAATATCATAATTATTTGTATTAAGAAAAGTTTTGTTACAGGTAATACACATGTCACATATAAAAAGTCTCATCTTTTCTCATTCAAAAGTTATTGTTAGAATTATTAAAAAGGTCAAATCTCGAGGTTAAAGAAAAAATCTAACATACTTGAAAATATCTTAATATAGATTTTGTACATGTAAAATACGAAAGCCCTGTTTCCATGATTTCTTTCAATTCAAAATTTATATTAGATTCAAGTTTTCGTGACAAACGGACAGTCGAATGATATTTAATTAAAGCCTCCTTGTTAAAGCAAAAGAGAGGGACATTAAAAATTTTACGATCTGGTTGTTTTTGTTGAAAATGATGAACACATAACGAGTTGGATAAAAAATCAAAGGAGATTCTTTTTACCCCATTATATCCCATGTTTTGTGCATCAACATCAATATTTTACACTTTTTCACATAGGAATCCAATTTATTTCACTTCATCATTCTCACACAAAACTCATCGTAACGTCACAACTGTATTCAAAGAGTGGCATCCAAGGGGTAAATGGGTAAACATGGGATAAATAATCGAATTAACTTTAAACATACTGTCTTTTTTTCTAGTTCCTGATATGTTGTGGATGCCGTTGAATTGGAGCATTCTTTTTGTCGGCTTGGTGGTGGCAGAATCAAGAAAAAACAGACCAAATCATGACTTATTATTGAACATCAAGAAACAAAAAATATTTCTTTCGCTCATAAATGAATTACAGCACAGCTTCAGATCACAAGACAGCTCTAACGAGGAACAGATTTGGCAGGTGCTTTGTTCTACAACTATTAAAACTGCTTTGAATAATAAAAAAAATTGAAAAAATTATTGCATTAAAATATAGATATTTTAAGCGTGCTAAAATGAAATATGAATACTAAGTCCTCATATAATTTGAAACATAAATATCTGAGAATCAAATTTTCTAGATTTCTTTCAAATTAAGTAATATGAAAAAATGTAACATTTTTTAATGCCTTTAGGAATACAAAGACCCCATAGACGATACAAATTGTCTTGCATCACCTCAGTCATCTCTGGATAAACATTTTCCCAAGTGCAAGAACTTAAATATATGGTCTGTGTTTAAGCAGTTATTTCCTGGGGAAAACTTTACTGATGTTAAATATGGGGATGTGGAAGAGGAAGCTGAAACCCGGTATGGTTCTTTAAAAAGAATTATTCACTGATGGTATCAATAAAATGGATAATGATTTAGTCTAAAGAAATTTTACTTTAAAAAACCCAATGAAATACAATAAACTTTATTTTCAAAATGCTTCATGCACAAACAAATACCATCTGATACCATCTCAATCAAGTGCAAGACTTGTGGTGGTACGTGTTACTCCATATTAAAATTTAGGTAAGGTTATCCAAAACTGTTAAGTTAACCTTAGTATTTCTTAAACCTTTTATTTTCTAGAGAGATTCTTGAATCCGAGAGTAAAAAAAGAACAGATGATCTTTCATCTTGGGGAAGTAAGTTAGTGTAAATATAGAGGAGAATGTGAAAAAATATATATATTTCTGTAATTGTGATTTTATTAATGACATGTATATTTTAATTTTTAAAAAATCCCTAAAATTTCCCAGATATTAAAAAAAAAACATGTTTCCTTTTATTTGTTTTAACCATTTGTTATATATGTACAAGGTTTCAAAAACATGATTAACATGGCACCTGATCCCATATCTGATGTTTTAGAGGTCCTTGTTTTCTCTGCTCCTAATTTGCAGTGATATTTAATGAACTTTTGAGCTTGAATACTGTTATCTCTACATATTTCATTGACAGTTACTTTACCTGCTCTTTCAGAGTACACCTGCAGTTGGAGAATTGGTTGTCTGGTCGTCTGCCTTCTAATAACTCTAAAGAGAGGTATTCGTTTATCATACTCAGATATAATAATAGAGCAGGGAGAGGGCTAAAATAGGCTTTGCCTGCTGCCCAATCCCATTCACTTATGTGAATAAAATTTTGTATAAATAAAAAAAATAATAATAGAGCATAACTCGTACAACTTACGACCAATATAAAACAATATTGCATTACTGAACTGTAACAAAACACATAATATTTTTTTTTCATAAATAATATTTATTTTCAGATTTTCTATGGAAGAGAAAATGGGAGAGGTATTTGAAGTTGTTTTTATTTTTTCTATCTTTTAAATTATTAATTAAATGCATGATATTTCTAATTTAAAATTAGAAATATCATGCATTTATTAATGGTTTACATACCCAAGCGTTAATTGTTTATTTGATTCCCTATAGTGTTTCCAGAATTGACGCTTCCGTACAGTGCTGTATAATGTCGGACTGGCCCGAGGAAAGGTCGTATGTTCCTTATTTTGCTCCGCTTCGGGAAGATGACCTAGAAACCGATGCCTCTGGAAGGAAATGTCCGAATTTTTACTGCCTATCTGGATTGAAAGATAAGAAATGTAAAGGATTTTTTTTTTCAAAATAACAATTAATCAAAAAATAAATATTATGGATCCATATATTTTTCATATTCTGTATTTGATAATAAATCGCTGATGTGTGTTCAGTTGTTTTGAGTATGAAACTAGTTTTTCATTTGCATTTTGTTTCGTTAAATGATTGATATCCATTTTCGGTTTTCGTTGTGCGACATCTATTTAGTATTGTTCGAAAAATTCTAAAATTTCTTCCGAATTTCAAAAGAATTTAAACTGCTCTTAAATTCTTAGAAAGAGAATGGTATTCATATACATGTACTTGTGACTATTAAATGATATAAAACCTTCATGGCACCTGATCCCATCTCTGATGTTTCTGAGATCCTTATTTGCTCTGCTTCAAAAATTGTATTGTCTAATGGACTTTTGAGATTGAATACTTTCTCCATATATTTCAATGCATATAATTCTGGCAATAAGACTGATAACAATTTCTAGCTACGTACATGTATTTGTGTTTGGTTTATAATTTTTGTGCCATATAAAATATTATCTACTAAGCAAGTGGCACAAAGGTAAAATTGTCAAAACTGTTAAATATAGGCAGAGTACCATTTTCTCACAATATTATATACACATTTATACAGATTATATTTTTTCTTAGTCAGAAAGTCTAAGCATATATCGTTACATGTATGTGACAGCAATAATGGTATTCTTCAACAACAAAAAAAAAAGAAAAAAAACAAAAAAACACTACTATGTATAGTATAGCATGCACAAGTCATTTTACGTTATTTATTACGCTATGTGACAGTATACAAAACTACCAGTTTTAAAAAGCGTATTTAACACATTTTCGTGCCTCTAACTTCAAAAAACCTAACTGAACTGTAAAGATAAATTGTTAAACAGTCTAAAAATTATAATTTTATAATTCTTTATCGCTGTATTTTGTTTTAATTCCTTTCAAATGTTCAAGCATGTTCTGAAATAAAACGTCATGAATTTAGCGCGTCGTAAAAACCGCATTCTTTTATTCCGCTGTTTATTGGACAACAGAGGATATATTCAGATTTTTTTTGTACAGTGGTAGATACAGCTGATCATTCTGAATATAATGATACCAAACAGGACTAGCCAGATTCGTATATTGCTATGATTATAGATCGTCAAATGTAAGCATTTTTTCGGAGAGTTTTTTCATTCGTTTGACGAACCGGTTGCATATGTGTTACAATTATAGATCGAAAGAGAATCTACTCCTCTTTAAGAAACTTTGTAGATTTATTTTCCTTACATCGGTGCTAAAAAGCGATCTTTCAAATAACAACATCACACATAGCCAGAGTGAATGATATTTGACGTCATTTTCACTCCTTCCACGATTCCTGAAAACTGTTTAGTAATGGAGTTTGTTTACTGTAACTATAGAGATATTAAGAGGGGAATAACTCTCGATATCTTTTTTATGGGGTACCCGAAGGGGTAATTTTAAATTATAATAATTTTTTTTTCTCTAAGAAACATACTAATTGAACATGTCAACAATATCACAAAACATGAAACGACTAAAAAACATCTAAAAAGTAAAATTGACGTTATAATTTTGAAGCAATAAAAAATTATAATTAAGAGTAAGATACAAATTAGAATAAAAATGTAAGAAAATAAGTATCTAGTGTAAAGTAAAAATACAATAGCCTTTTGATTTTTTAATTAAAAGAAAAGTAAATCAATTCAATTGAGTTCATGAATAAATTAGCTTATTTTATGGTAAAGTAAATTCTAGAAGAATGTGTTTACAAAATTCATGTCACAGAAAATTTTGTAAGACCCGTACGTGGGATATCTTTTTATAATCATAACGTTCATTCAGCTTGTCTCATATGATTTTTTCTATTGATATACAGTTTATATCTATACATTGGCACCGTATTGAAACTTAATATATATTTTTTTATTTTTATATATATACATGTACAACAAAATGTATTGGTAAAAATATTAGTATTTGCCAGGAGCTCATTTTTTTTCAAGAGACATGCCTGGTTCGAGAATTTTTCGTTTGACAGCGAAGGAAGTAAGGCCTTCAAATATTCTAGAATCATTTTCTATATTTGTAGATCATGTGCATTTAATTATGTTGTGTAAATATTTTTACTTAGATTATATTTGACTGGTTAATACTATTTCTGAAATTTCTAGGTATTCTTGATTAAAACACTAACAATAAATTACATGCATGTTAGAGCATAAACGTTGGAAGCAAATTGAAAGTGGGGTGGCTAATTGAAAGTGTGTGTTGGGGGGGGGGCTAAACCAACAAAAAATGTCAACCACAATATTCAATGCCTATAAAATATCTATCTTTGCAAAAAAAGGGGGGGGGGGGGGCTAAGACCCCTATAACCCACCCCCAACCCCCGGTTCCGACGCCTATGTAGAATATGAACATATGAATGGGTAGATGGATAGATAGTAAAAATCAAATAGGCAAAATAATATTACTGATGCATCAAAGAGGTATTGAATAAACATTTAAACAAGCAAATTAAAATTGTGGTCCCCCAGCTGCATTTCATTTCCGGAAATTTTCACTTAGAGCATCACGGGCGGCTCATACATCGCACCTCGGAGGTTTGAATGGAGCGTAGCGGAGTCAGCCGAGGATTGCCGATTGGAAATTTTTCGGTATTTTCAACTTTTCATGGCCTACATATTTTAGTTTTCATTTCTGACATTTTAAAATTTTCATTTCAGACTCTTCAGATTGTACTTTTTGGTTATTAAAATAGGATTGAAGAATTCACTTATGAAAAATTTCATTTACGTAATGAAAATAAAGTATATATCAAATATTTTAGACAAAAGTTCGGTCAAGTCATTGACATCTAATTTAGTGAACATACATGGTGATGCAAAAATTGCATGCTCAATGAATTCTTTGAGGTAAACTTAGTGCTGCATGTACCGATGTACTATACATGTATGTGTATATACAAAATGTTTATTTGTTTTACCGGCTGTTTGTGTCTATGTGGGCGATATGTTATTATTTATGGCATATTGTGCCAAATACGAAGCCCTATCATATGTCATTCAAAAGTTATAACCAAAGTTGATTTATTTGAAAATTAGGTCAAACATATAGGTCCAGATCAAGGGGGTTAGAAATCATAGCAATGAACATGTCAAATTTGAAAGCATTATCTCTTTTCAATCAGAAGTTGTAAGTGGAAAATAGCATTTTTGAAAAGTATGTCAAACGTCAAGGTTCAAGGTCACAAGGTCAAAATCCACAGTGTATTTAGAAATGGTAAAATACATATGAAATGTGTAAGCCCTAGCCTTCTCCATCGTCAAAACCACGACTAAAATGTACGATCTTATGACCTACTATTAAGTGGACTCTGAACCGTGGCTTGTGATTATGTATCTTTTCTCATATAAAAGTTATGACCAACGTTTTTGAAAAGTAGGTCTAACTTCAAGATCAAGGTCATGGGGTAAAAAATTATAGTGTATTTAGAAAGGTCTTGTCAGAGTTAAAGCACATGAATAATATAAAACTTATATCTCTTCTCTGTTCTAATTCAAAATATATAACCAAGATTACATTTTTGTGTTATACGAACAGATTTACAATCTGACTGACAAAACAGACAGACGAATGAGATTTAAATACTCCTCGCTTTTGCGAAAGCCGGGCAAATCAAATGTTTTACATAGGGAGAGAGAGAAAGAGAGAGAGATGAGAAAGGGAGGGGGATAGAGATGAGAAGGGAGAGAAAAAAGAGAGGGAAAAGGAGATAGAGCTTTGATAACTCACAAACAATTTGGACAACCTTTAACACGCATTAGAAAAGATCTGCATGTTTAACTAAATTTCGTTCAATTAATTCTAAATTAAATCCCCCCCCCCTCTTTTTCCCTTTAAGAATTTATTATTTGCTGCTGTCATATTTATGACTAATATTCCGCAAGTTTTTTTTTTTAAAATGTCCAGTTCAAACATAATTGTTTCAATTATTTATTGATTATTCAGAATATAACTCTCCGATACCTAATCTAAATAATGTAAGATTTACATCACGCTCCCAGTTAATACTCGTTCCTGACCAATTCTCCGCATCATATTGATCAAATGTATTTGTATGAAGAATTTAAAATGCAGCTTTTTTAAAAAATAATTTATATACATCAAAATTTCATGATTTTTAGTTTCCTTTGTATAATAAGTGGACATCACTCCAACTTTCTATAAATCCCATGCGCGGATCCAGAAATTAAAGTTAGAGGGGCGCCAAAAGTAGACAGGGGGTCTGGGGGAAGACCCCGGAAGCTCCTGGATTCTTGAGATTTTGTAGGTAAAATTGAGGTCTACCGATGAGACATTTTTACATTTTCTCGACGAAACTATGATTTCCGTTAACTTTCACAATTTTAGGGGGCGGATGCGACCCCCTTTAATCCGCCACTGAATCTTATAATTGCAAGCATTGTGCCTAACACAAAGATTAATTGTAAAAAAGGATAAATTTCTAGTAATTCATGAAAAACCCAGTGACCTTGACTGTGACCTGTATTTTAAAAATAGTTTTTTCGTTTTTAGTTTACCTTTGCAATATAACTTTTGAACCACAAGAAAAAAGAGACTTCATTTTTGGTATCCATACTTTACTAATCAAGTTCTCTCAAATGACACCAAGGTCAATTGCCTTGTGATCTTGACTGTGACATATGTGCTAAAAATGGTTTTTTTTTTTATTTTGTTGTTGCCGGGCGCATAGTGTTTCACAAACACATCTTATTTTAAATTAATTTGTGATCATTTTTATTGATTGGCTTTGTTGACGACTTTTTATAAGCATAACGTCAAAGTAACGTTGCGTGTCTCGTGTGACCCAATTAATTATACGGAAAAAGACTCTCACTATCTAATGATTCAGGTCAATCTAGGTGTTTGATGCAATTGATCTTTAATAACTCTGATTCTGGGCAAAGGAAATAAGAAGAGAGAGATTATATTTTGAATACATTACCTTAGGTTTTGACCTCAATGCTACTAGATATTTTCTTCAGAAACGTGGTCACACTCTAGAACAATACCTTTACATTTAGCAATCTATTTTTAGTAACAATGCTTGACCAGAAAATCTCAAAATTATATTTTTCTTAAATGATTTTTAATAAGCTTTGATTTGATATATAACACAAGCGGTAAATACTAAATATAAAATTTGACTTGTGTGTGCTACTATACATGTGTTAAAAAGAACATTTGCATGTATGACCGTTTTCTTAATATAGCTAATAGTTTATGGCTTTTTAAAATTCTTTACATCAATAGTTTGGATGCGTTGTAAAGAATTTAATTTATACCTAGGTTTAAAAAATTAAGAATTTTTTTTTAAAAGTCTTACGTACCCTTTGAATATTGCAAAACTTCAAATATCAGAAACATGCCTGTTCTCCTTATATTCTTTCACGCTGCGGGAGACATCTGGAAAATTAAACCAAAAATACATGACATCCTTGTGTTAAATTGCGTTGTAACAAAAAAACTAATGTATTAGTCATATAAAAGTGTAAATTTATACTTATTATACTTATCATATGATGACTAAAATCCGGATTTTAGCCCTGTTGCTAAGTGGCGGCATTAGAGCCCAATGATGTTTCTGCCTATTGAATTTTGCAGCTGTTCCAAAGCTAAAACATCATTGTATGTAACATCCTCAAGGATCCACCAGCAGGTGTACACGTAATGCCTAGTTTAAAATAATTAACATTTAGGATATAATGTTGAAGTGTTTCAGATAGTGGTGCATTTAGAATATGTCAAACCACACAAACAGGAGACTCTTGGGTAAATTTTGACTGCTAGAGTAATATATAATATATTTAGGGATAACTTTCACTATAAAGCAACACTTTCCAGGCAAAGTCTCAACGCAAAGAATAATTTCCAAGAGAGGGGAGGGGTCTTACTATGGGATTTGTAAATTTTACCTCTTTAATGAAAATTATCACATTCAATTAACCAATATGTATATGAAATATGGTGTAAGATGATTGCTCCATTACGTTTTTCAACTGTCCAGAATTTCTCATAAAACTATTAAGACCAAACTAACTCTTTGCATCTATACTGACACGCAAAAGAAACGCAACAAGCAGTAACAACAATGTTTATATATTTTTTATCTTATGATTTTCAAAAGCGAATAAAGTAAGGCTTAACTCACTTTTCAGAACATCAAAGATTTGATAAAAATGTTAAATGCTTATCTGTTTACTTTATTAAGAAAAATATTTCCTGTTAAGACATGATTCCCAGCCATTCAAGTAAAACGTGCAAGACTGCCCTAAACAACAATTGCAGCTAAATTTCTACGATACAATTAGTTCAATAATATCGAATTCAGCTTTCTTTGGCATTTTTAAATGCATGTTTTTCAGATGATTAGGTGGAATTTTCTCTAATTTAGAGCAGTATAGCCACCCTTGGACTACCGGTACAAGGACTGTCCTTAATGCATATGATACGTTAGACCCTTTTGAAGCGTAATGTAGTGAAATTTTGCATCAGTAACTCTCCATCACCTTTTCATTGAAATTATCCAGCTAGATCAATGGAAATGCATACATAAGACATTTTCAGGGAGCTTTAGCATCGTTACGGAAAACGAAAGGAAAGTTTATTTTTTTTTTGAAATATTGCTGCATTACTTATGATGAACAGTAAAAAAAACCTTAAAACTCCATTATATTGCCAAATGTTTTGTTAAACATGCAATTTTTGATTTCTGTTAAGCAGACTCAAACTTGACTTCGAGTTATGGTGTGGAAATCGTTCAACCGTTAAATCACCGATGTTTACCAAATTGAAGATATTCATAATTTTAAGATACATAATTCTTAACTTTACATAACTATTTCCCTCTAAAGTAAGGTGTAAGTTTTGCATGTCAGTATATATCATAAAATTAAAGTTTTTATTTGTATAGCAATTTTTTATATTTTTTCTCATAACTTGTTATTTTTCATTCTATTTGAGGTTATAATTTATGTATATTTCTTTTATAGACACATGCCATTGTCGTTTATTGCTGTTTAATAAAGATTTAAACCTGACCTGGTCTTGTTTCTGCTCGGTTACACTAGTGTTAAAGCTTTTTTTTTAAGTATGATGACCATTTTTTATTCTTTTACCCGTGCTTTTCGAGTACATGTATCTTCTGACCTAAGAAAAAGAAGAGGTAAAATGAGCTCGAAACAATTGAAATATGGCGGTTGAGGAGAATACAGTCTTAGCTCTGGTTGTACGTACGAATTAAAAAAGAGAAAAATAGGATATATTTCCATGTTTGAAGTATATACACATAACGAATGTCTCAAGTAACAATACATGACTGATTAGTACTTATTTCCTTTTTCACTATAAACATATTCATGAGGACCAATATATGTGAGCTTCTTTGATTTCATTATCTATGAAATAACATACATACGAACAACAATTTTGTCAAAATATATTCAACTTTTCATCTTTATGCATTAAATAATGCTTCCACAAACAAACAAAACTTCTCTTTTACACGTGCATCGACATCTACTATTTGAATTGATTCAATAGTTTTATTTAAGAAATTATACAAAATGGCATCTTTTTGCCTGTAACAAATTAAAAAAAATAATTATAACAAGGATTTACACATACCATTGCTTTAATTTTTATGAACAATTTTATGAACGCCATGTCAATTTAACTAATATTTATTTTGGTTTTGTACATATAGATATAATTTTTCAAGAAACAGTGACCAGATATTAATGGACATTTGCAAGAAGCACTGACGTATACAATCGAATGCTGTCTTTTGTAAAAAAAAAAAGTACTTATTTTAACATTTATCTAGAGGTACTGTGAGCAGTGGGTTCACTAAATGATGCCCCCGCCTCCCATATGAATAAAATGGCAGAGTCCATTTTTTATTGTGGGAAACCGAAAATATGTGTCGGATCAAAAGTGAGGTAGGAGGTGCACAATGGCAATATGTAATAAAGATTCTGTGAAAGTTTAATGAAATTTCATTCAGTGGTATGATAGGATTTGTGGATACGATATGAATGCCCCAAAGCGTAACAGACGGACGGACATACCAATTACTATATACCATGCTTTTTAAGCTCAGGGTATAATAGAACAATAATAACGGGTTATTTGAAAGCCCATATTACATTGTCTAGAAAAGAAATGACAACAATCTTACCCTCAACATCTTCCATTCCAACCTTGACTAACTCTTGCAGAGTTTTCCTTCCAAAATGTTTTTCCTCTTTATATTTAACCAACCAAGTAATTAAAAATAAAAGAATATACTAATTCTCTTATGGTAAATAATGTTATTCTACTTCCAATATATTTTGTTTGGTAAATAATGTTATCATATCTAGTTTTCAATTTGTTCATATCTCCCTGGGGTACATAATCGCAGGTTGGAAAAGTTTCATAGTAAAGGAAAGAAACCTAATTAACAATTTTCAAAAGCCAAAGTCAAATAGGGCATCATATACGGATGTACAACACACCTACCCCAAAAAATTCCTGTCGTAATTTTCTTATTTTTGTTATTGTAGTAGAAAGCGTAAATTTTAAATCCGTTTTTTATCTATCATGATATTTATTAAATACTCACTTTCAAATGCCTTTTTATAGCGAAAAATCCCATACAAACATCTTTCTAAAATTTTAGGAAGTAAATGTCAAAAGATTTTCCTTTAACCATTTAGCACAAAAACATGTTCAGTTTGACATACAATCCATCAAAATACAAAGTATCATGTTCAATCTATTATGTGAAAATGTGTCAGTAATTTGTATAATACTTTATGTAATTTCTTAAAATTATCTTTACTGGTAGTAAAAATAATCTTCATCTTTTTATATAATTTTTGTACAAATGAGTTTGAAATTCCTTTACCAAAAGCCGAGAGCTCAAATGAAATAATTAACTAATCAAAATTTGTCTGCCGTTTGGCGTCGTTGTTGTTGTTGTCGTTGTAAACTATTCACATTTTCACCTTCTTCTCAAGACCCACTAGGCCAATTTCAACCAAGCTTGTCATAAAGTATACCTGAGTAAAAGGGACTCAAGTGTGTTGAAATGAAGGGTCACGCCTTCTTTAAGGGGAGACAATTAAGATTTCATGATAATTTAATGGCATTAAAAAATTTCAACAACCACTGTGCTTGAAATATGAAACTATGGAATCGTAGAGAGGTAGTGTACATTTAAATTTGTTCATATCATGTCCCTTTGGGGTAGGGTGGGGTCACATTGTTTGATAGATGTACACCCCTCAATATTGTACGTATTTCTTTCAATGTCGTCGCTAAAGTTAAAATGAAAATTCCGTATTCGTCCACATTAACTTCAAAATAAAAAAAAATTAATTCCAATTTAATCATGCTTTATAATATTTAGCTCTTATAGGCTACGATTTGTTTTGATTCGAGGGCGGCATTGTTGACAGAAAAACAAGATGAAAAACCATATTTTAAACTGTCAATTTTCAATGAAAAATTGTGTATATGAGGTCTATAACCAGCATTGAAAATGGTATTTTTTCCGTGATATCAGGCAAAGAAAATGTCCTACATTTTCAGATTGCCTACAGTTTTTTAGAAAACAGTAATTTGCATGTTCTTTATTGTTGTTTTATTTAAAATAATGTCAAATTTATATCGATATGCACAAATTGTAATGAAGACTACTTTTCATGTGATTTCAAATTGAATTCCATGTAAATACTTTATTTTCTACATAATTCTATTAGAGCCGTACAAGTCATTGGGATGAAATGAAATGTTGAAAGTGATTTTGACGTCATAATGGATTTAGCACTGAAAAGTTAATTCGAAAATACAAGTATGGTACGCACAATCACAGCCAAGCCTTAATATAGGAATACAGGAAAAATCCCTTTAACAATTTTCAAGTTTATTCATATTGTATGGTGGCATCCTCTGATATAGTTGAAGTTCATTTATGTTCAAATCATAACCTTCATGAAAGGACAGGGCCACAGTGGGCAATATAATCAAAGTTTTACAAAGGAATATTTTGGAAGGCATTTAAATTTTTTTTTCCAGAACAGCAAAGCCATGTTAAGTCATATACATATGGAAGGATTCTTAGGTATTGTAGATTCATTTGTTTTTTTCAAATCATGACCCCTGATGGGAGGGTTTGGCAACATTTGGCAATCAAAATTTAACATAAAAATATGTAGTAAAAAGCTGTAAAAACTTTATTCTCAAAAACAGCAAAGCCATAAGATTAGTCATATTTATATTGAAACATCATCAGGGTTTTGCTCAAATCTTGACCGCAGGATGTAGGGTATGGTCATAATGGGAATCAAAATTTTACAACGGAATATACAGGAAATATTTTTTAAATCTTCTTCTTGAGAACATAAATGCTACGGTTGGTCAAAATTGCATGTAAGTATTTTCAAGTAGTGAAAATTTCACGTTTGTATAATTCATGATCCCGGAAGGGGGGGCAACAATGTGCAATCAAAGTTTTACATGGAATACATGGGGAAAAATGATAAAATCTCAAAATTGCAAAGCAGTGATTGGTCATATTTATAATATTTGATACAGAATGAGTATTTTTCTGCCTTTTCCTAGCCAATGTTTTCAGGTGAGCGATGTAACTCCTGGGTCTCTTGTTTAGTTTTATGATAGTAACTTTTCTCTTCTACGTTTAGATATTGGACATTTAATTTAAAGTAAGATTTTAATTGTGTGAACCTTTTCTTAGATTATCTGCACTTTTCAATAAAGTTCGTATTAATTTGTTTTAATTTTAAATTTTCAATAGGACCTTAATGTGGAATTATTGCTGCAGATATGGAAGTATAAATAGACGAGAAATTCTTTATTTAGTACGTCGTGAAACCTTTAGGTTTTTCTTCAGATTTTTTTTTTTAGAAATTGCCCGGAAATAACTAGCATAATGCATTGTAGTTCATCATATATTTTGTACAAAATCGCTCAATATTCTACAACAAGAAGATAGAACGCAATTAAAAGCCACTTGGAATGCTAATAATAATTTATTTTGGGATATTTTTATCAATGATACAGACAAAATTACAAATGCCGAAAAGAATTATTTCCTCATTACGTGTACATGATATAATTAGTCAATCCACTGATTCATCAGTAGTGTTGGGGAAGCCACGCATCATTTGATGGTTCATCCCTGGTTTTCATCTAAAAATAAAAAAAAAATTTAAAAATTTAAACTACATATAAAGGTACCAGTAATTTCAAATCCAAAGTCACCAAATATAAAAAAAACTATATATCTTAAGTTTATATTTCCTGAAGATATCGTTATACTTACTCTTTTATTTTCTTCTTTCAGACCGTTCGCGAGGTCCTTAAAAATACAAAAGTATATAGACAAGATTAGATAAGGGGAAAAGGTAACCAGAAAGATTAACCTTTTTTGAATATGTCAAAAATAAATCAACAAATTAAGTTTTTAATAATATATTTAAGGTATTCAATGTATAATGACGTGATTTTGAATAATTTTGATTCATTTAAAAACTAGTTAAAAATACACAGATAGATAAAGCTACAAGTAAAATGAACAAATTTCGCATTACTAAAACTTAAAAGAGGCTGATCATCGTATACGTAAACCTTGAGAAGTTTTAAAGAGTTATCTGCCCTTCATGAAAAGAAGATCATGTTCATTCTTTGAAAATATCTTAAATAAATGTTTCATTGTATTTCAAATTTTGATTTGATAAAGAAAGTTTATGCATAATTGCACCCTGAAGTTTGTTTGAAATTTAAATTACTCTTTACAATATCTTTATAAACCATGCACTGTCCACAGACGTCAACGTAAAACTCAAAGTGCATTTAATTGAACACTAATTTATTATTTTTTTTTAAAATTCCAATGGTTGAGTATGTTTATTTCATATCGCCTTCACATGTACAATGATTTATCGTTTGGACATTCATTCATTAGGTACATAATATGGTCTTTATATATTGAATACAGTACATTCAGGCTATTTTTGAACTATTTTTATGACAGTCAAATGGAATCGATTAAAATATGTTCTTAATTGGTGTGCTCTTTTTTGGCATTAAAGTTATATAATAAAAGAAAATTCTTTAAAAAAAATCTCATTTAAAAAAAAAACTTTAATGTAACCAAATGGTATTAGAAATGGTTAAACGTTTTAAAATATTTTGAAGTTTGGTATTATAAATGTAGATGTGTTGGTAAAAATAAATGATGTTATAAGATCAACACTTTCTTACCTTTTCAAGTACCTCGCGACTACAAGAGCAATGACAATGTCCGGAATGACAATAACAAACACAGTGTTTGGTCTCCCCCATTTGGATCAGACAATAAAGGGACAACAAGAAAACCAAGAAAAGTGCACTTCTCATCTACATGAATATCAATTAATTACTATGAAGATTGAAAATCAAAATTTATCAAACAGTATGTAGATTTAAAAAGAAATGTATAGAAAGTCCCACGTACCTTTTGAACTTCGTAAAAAAATCAACTTTCCAGTAGCATGCTGTTCCTTATTTATATTTTTTATGCCCTAGTGACATCTGGGAAATAAATTACAATAATTTGTAAATTTATACTTGAAGGGTATCTATGGTCAATAAAAACCGGATTTTAGTCTAAGTTCTAGAACAATACTAACAGTAACTATGTTTGTAACAAATACTAGAAAATATTAGGACGGAATGCAATTGACAAAATGTGCATGAATGTAAAACCTTTTTTTTTAAATTGTAACGTCCCTGCCAAGAATTTTTCACATACACTGAGACATTAACACATAAAACTATAATGTGCATTTTTTGTAATCGAATTCATGGTCCTTTAGCAATGAAGGATTTCTTTCTTCCAGCAAATACATATATTGCAACTTTTAACCTCGGTTTAACAACTTGAACATAAAACGTTTTAAAAACTGTGCATATACTGCATTTTTGTCTGTTTTTTAACGACCATTACATCAAGATTTTTTTTTCACTTATACTAAGATATTAGGCCTACTGCACTACTGTTTAAGTCTGCGAAAAGGTAATTTTTCCATATTAATAAGATAAGACAAATGAAGAATTCTTTTTGCCAGCACATACATATATTGCAACTCGGATATTTTAATTTTACAACAAATATCTGAACTCTGTCCTAATATTCAAGACTTTTCTTTATGTAATATATCGCAAAGCTGCAATTTAGATTCAGAAGAATTGTTTTCTTATCTCATATAAACTGTCTTCCTATACTTCATTTTTTACCAGTTTACAATTTACCAGCAGACGTTATATTTAAAGTTAGCTCAATTTGACATTTTTTTTGAAATGTGCAGGTGTTCAAAATTTTTTTATTTGCAATATCCATGTTTATATATTAAGTATAATGAATTGCTGGTATCAAAGACTACAAATAAGGACATTACGTGAGGCTTTTTTATAAAGTTAACGGTTTTGCGGTTTATAAGCGATAGAACAAACATTTAATTTGCATATGTGATAATATTAATTTTAAAACCCCTCTTCTTAAATTAAAATTCTGGAATGAAAATAAAACTTTACTTCAGTTACAAAAAAACATGATTAAATTCTAAAAAGGACATGTAGGATTAAATTTAGGTTGTAGAGATGTTAAGACTTTGATACATATATTTAACTTCTTTTTCTTTTTTTTCAAGAAAATATTACAAGTACTGTTAAATTGATAAAAAAAAAACCAATCAGTAAAGTATAAACAAAAACTATTCAATCGCAAAATATACATGAGAGACAAAACAAAACAATTGTACTTCTATAATTAGTTTTGTTTAAATTTACAGATTTTCTCACCCATTATAGGAGACGGAACTGTAGAAATTGTATACTCTAGCATCAACTGATATACAGTCGTGTATTTCTAGTTTTGTAGAACAAGGACATTCATTTTTCACAGTCCTAATAACATAATATAACAAAGAAAAAAATCTATGTAACATACTGACGGATGTTCCTGTAAATGTACAGAAGGATATGAAATCTGAGTTCATAATAAAATTTTAACTAATAGATTAAAACTATAAAATGAAAAATATTGTATATTTATATATATTACTATAAATTTCTATTTAAATAAATCTATTAAAAATCATTAAAATAAAATTAATCTTAAAGTTCGTCTATAAATTATATATTTATATATATTATAAATTATATTCAGGTATTCTAATTTTTTTTCTAATATATATAATCGATTGCGATAAGAAATATTTAGTTCAAAAGAAATCTTTTTTGAACATCTTTAATTTGATTTTTAAAATTTCATTTTTTTTTAGAAATAATGTTTCTTCAAGCACCATGGGAATTTTAAAAAAAAGTTAAAAAAAATAACAGAACAACCTTTCGCAAACAAATGTCTGAAAATTGTCAATCTTTTCACCTCGCAAAGTGTTATAGAAATGTGGAAGAAAAATCTATTTGCACAGTTTTGCATTGACTCTCCCACCCCTAAAATAATATCAAATTAAGTTGATGTCAATAATCTTAATATCATTACAGAAGCAAATTTAGGAGCTATCAAATTTTTTTTTTTACTCGATATGACAAATTAAGTTCATATAAACAAAGTCTTAAGTTTGTTATAACGAATTTAATTGGTTTAATCTAATTCAACAGTCGGGACCTATAGAATTCAATAAAACGATTTGTCGAATTTGTTTTAACGAATTTAATTCGTAATAACAAATGAAAGAATTCATTTAAACAATTTCAATTCGTTATAACAAGATTCAGAATACGTTAAAACAAGTTTAATTCTCCATGTTCTCATTAACAATTTTTTATGTGGTATAACAAATTATAGTAATAACGAATTTAATTCATTATAACGAATTCAAAGAAATATTTATAACGAATTAAATTCGTTATAACAAATTCGAGAAGTCGTTATATCGAATTCAAAAATATTTTTGTTGGTCCTAACTCGGCTTCCATACGTCAATATACTTCGTCTTCTCTTAAAGTGACAATACGGCGCATCTCTTCAAAAACAGACTTGGCCCCGTGGGGATCCGGGTTAGAATAGGTCCTCAGTACCCCCTTGCTTGTCGAAAAAGGCGACTAAATTGGGCGGTCCTTCGGATGAGACCGTATAAACCGAGGCCTCGTGTCACAGCAGGTGTGGCACGCTAAAGATCCCTCCCTGCTCAATGGCCCTGAGTGCCGAGCAAAGGCCTAAATTTGCAGCCCTTCACCGGCAATGGTGACGTCTCCATATCAGTGAAATATTCTGGAGAGGGACGTTAAACAGTATACAATCAATCAATCAATCAAAAACAGACTTGTTAAAATTTTCCTATAGGATTTGGAATTTTTTTCATACTCATAAATGAATACACTTTCAGAAAATTACAAATTTCATAAGTAAATAATTCTGATTATTTCATTAAAATTAATAATCATTTATGGTCCATCGCAACGTGTTCGAGGTTCCACATTCCATGCTATCGAGCATGCGTATAGTTTTCATAAACAAAACAGCATGGTAAGAAAGGGAAGCCCGGTAGGCCTGCTACATTGACAAAGTCGACCAAAAAGAAAATCAAAAACCAAAAATAGGGCTTGAAATTAATAAGCAACTTTGCTTACAAAAGTTTACTTGGGAGATTAATATAATCATTGGATGAAGAAGAAACGGGATCTCGGCGACATTCACCTGGGGCTCACAAAGGTTCTACCCTACAGGTTTGTTGAAACATGCTATCATTTCTCATATCTCCATGGCTTTCAAAGAAAAATAAAACAGTGTAAACTCAACGTTGAAATGCACTTATGACATATAAAATTTATTACAATTTGAAGTGCAAATTGTATTAGAACTACAGAAAGGTATTATGTTTGACATTTTGCTGCGATGACGTATGATTTGATGGATTTTCCTTTCCTACACCCCAATACACAAAATGTCAACATTTATACTTAATCATGTTAAATTCATAAATGCAGACTTATATGTCAAGTATTATTAATTTACCGTAGAGTAAAGATATTTTGATTCTCAGAATTGATTTTACTTAAAATTCCATAATAATTGTAAACCCTACATTGTATGCACGTGCTATTTTAGAATTCACGTGGTACAAGTAAACAGATCTAAGTTGTACGACCCTTGATTTTCCGGCAGATTCTAATTAAGTTAATTTTGTATGAGCAGGGAATATTTATTTTTTCTCAAATGCTTAATTCAACTTTTTACCTTATTCCTGAATGATATATTGGGGAAATTTGAATGCAAAAGCATACGATTTGCAGGCTTATTGCCGCTTTAAATTATTTCTCGCGGAAATGTGTGTATGGATTATTTACTCAATATTTTCATAAATACATGTATATACCTGAAAAGAATGTAATTCTTGGTTGCAGAAATTGTTTATTGCTTTTAAATTACAGCGGCTCATTAAGTAAAGCCCATTCGATATATCACAAAATTTAGTAAACTTAGTTGTGGTTGAGAATATCAACTTACGAGGGTTGATCCAAAAGTAATGTCACAACTTCGATAAAAATGCTACTAGTCGACATAAATTAATGAAATTATACATGATCGAAGCAATATATTACAAACAGTCTTGAAAAAATCAAATTAAAATGATTCATACTTTTCAAAATAACGAATTATATACAAAGTGCAATTACGGTAGTTGCCGCACCTAAATAACGTCATATGACGTGTACGCGCCGTCATACATTTAAACGCTTCCCCTTCGTTTCATCAAAAATATTTGAGATTCACGAAAACACTCACATATTTCTCTTTTTAAAAGAACTATTGGCACCCATTGTTAACTCAGTCTATACATAATTTAGTAATCTGTCAAAATTCTTTGAACAGTACAACAAGAAAAACTTAAAGTTTCTCAAAAATAATAATTAAAAAAAAAAAAAGTTTCTCATATCGCTCTAACCGTCTAATTGCTCCCTTTTTGGACAACGTCCGACACCATTGAACGTTTCCGCCTGACCTCCCTTTTTCGGTCTTCCTGTCCTCTGTTGATCATTCAATAACCCGCTTAAAATCGCTGAAACCATCTTTAAACAAGTCTCTTATTTATATTCCATCCTCTGGGTATCCGATTATCATCGTAACTGTTTCTAATGGCGATTTCCCCATTTTGAAACAAAAAAAAAAAAAAAAAAACCCAAAAAAAAAAAAAAAAAAAAAAACAAAAAAAAAAAAAAAAAAAAAAAAAAAAAAAAAATCCGCATTACAGATCGTTTCAGCGGTTTCTCTCCATTTCGACATTTCTTTTGTTCAATCCACCAGATTAAAACAACAATGTTTATGATCAAAAAGCAATGACGTCATTTTATTTTCAACTTAAGACTAGAAAATGTCGTAAA